TTTAAGAGAATCTTAGCGAATCGTTAGTGAAAGTCACACTTAAAGAGAGAGATAAGTGTGGAGGTAAATGTCAACAGAGATCGAGACAGAGAGGATTTTAAGAGAATCTTGGCGAATCGTTAGCAAAAGTCACACTTAAAGAGAGAGATAAACTGAAAATTTTTCTTCAATTATCTTCCCTGGGAGTTGCTAAGGCTTCATAAAAAAGCAAACGGCGAGTGAGGATGGTACTTTCATCAAATAAGATTGGAAGGTTCGCTCAATAACAAACATAAAATCGGCAGGTGCTCGGCTTAATTATGTTCGTTTTCATAACAAAAAGGGAGAGTTAATCGAAAAAAAGGGCACGTTAACGATGCTTCATTCTGAAAACAATTAGGGGTAGCGTCATGCTAATCAGTGACGACCCTTGCACCTGTTTCATGTTAATTTGGATAAAACTGGTACTGTAACAGGTTATTCTTGTAAAACAGCTTTCGACAACGATTGAATGACAGGAACACGTCGTTATCAGACTCAAGTGTTGCGGTTGTGCGCTTCAGTTTTTAAGTGAATCACAATACGTCAGGTAAACCTCTGTGTTTAAAGAACTGCGACTCATGTCTGAGTCAACTTTTGAGCTATTTTTCTGAAAGACACTTTAATCCAGCAACATGGTTCATCAAGAAGCCTGTTGATAACCGTTAGAAGTTGCTGTGAGTATGAAAGATGGGTAGCGTAGTTTATAGATTCTTTGCTGGACGCGAAAAATCAAACAAGAGGTTTGTAGATGAGTGAAATGCATCTTATCGAGATTACCAAGGACCATAGACTCAGGCAGTTCACAAACCAAGTACCAAGATTACTTCTGAAGAGATACACATAAACAGACAAAGAAGGGATGAAATGACTGAAAAAAAAGTCTAAAAGTTTTATGGTCCTTCTGACAGAACAATAATTTGACGAAATGACTGACACTCTGACTGACTGAGACGTCTGGTTAGCCGAGAAGCTAGAGCTGACTATATTGCACTACACTAACACGGCACTGTTGATTATTTGACTGACTTTTCTTGACTGACAGACTATATAACTGATTGATCTGCTTGTCTCCCTTCTTATGTGCCTGACTGACTTAACGACTGAGTGGCTGACTGACCAACTGATTGACTAACTGACTGACCGACTCACTCACTCACCCACTCACTCACTCACTAGCTGACTGGCAGACTGACTGACAGACTCACTCACTCACTCACTCACTAGCTGACTGGCTGACTCACTCTCTCACTCACTCACTAGTTAGCTGACTGATTGACTAACTAGAAAAACTGACAAACTGACTGACTGACTCACTAGCTGACTGACTGACCGACTGACTGACTGATTGGCTGAATGACTGACTCACTCACCAGCTGACTGGCTGACTGACTGATTGACTGAATCAGTGACTGACTCACTGACTGACTGACTGAATCTGGGACTGACTCACTTGCTTACTGACTGACTGACTGATCGACTGAATCAGGGACTGACTGACTCACTCACTAGTTGACTGACTGACTGATTGACTGAATGACTGACCCACTCATTAGCTGACTGGCTGACTTACTCGCTCACTCACTCACCCACCAACAACACAGCGGTCAAATGATTGCACGTGCGCACTCAGATGAGTAAGATTTACTATCGAAAACATCAAAGAGAGACGTAGTTTTTCGCAGTTTTTGAGGAAAGTTTGAAGTTTCTAAGGCCGAGACTTACACACATTGTTGTTCTAGGCTAAACCTACCTTGTGCTAGCGTACACTCGTACTTTTTTTCACACTTTGCACGGCGGTAAGATGAAGCCGTCCGCAAGCCTTGCCGCCTCGGCAGTAGTCATTCTTTATTGTGTTCATGGCGGAGTTGCCGATAAACACCGAGGAAAATGGGTTGAAAAGGAAGATCCAGAGTGACCGATAACAGGTCTATGATTATGGCGGACAGTAGATTGTGCACCAAGGTTAGAAGAAAGTTTTTGTCATTTGCCTTCATTTGCGAAACGAAGCCTCCGCGTTAAAAACAGTTGGGATATCTCACAATAAAGTAAGATCAATATTTATTATTTCTCCAAATTCCTTCTTTCATTTGTCTCACGCATTGGAATTGTTAAGAATTTAACTTTTTCCTCCTCATTTTACGCTAGACACGCGTTCGTAAGTCCCTCTTATTGTTATCCAACTCTTTTGTATGTGCAGTGTTTGATCGCTGTGTTCTCACCAGCTGACTGGCTGACTGACTGACTGACTGACTGACTGAACGACTGACTGACAAACTGAATAGCTGACTGACTGAATGACTAAGTGGCAGACTGACTGACTGAATGACTGACTGATTGACTGACTGAATAACTGACTGAATGACTAACTGACTGACTGAGTGGCTGACTGACTGACTGAATGACTGAGTGGCTGACTGACTGAATGACTGACCGACTGACCGACTGACCGACTGACTGACTGACTGACTAATTAACTGAGTGGCTGACTGACTGAATAACTGGTTGAATGACTAACTGACTCAACTCACACACTCCGCGACTCACTAGCTGATTGACTGACCGGCTGAATGACTAAATGAATGACTGACGAACTAACTGGCTTACTGACCTACTCACTGACTCACTGACTGACTGACTGAATGACTAAATGAATGACTGACGAACTAACTGGCTTACTGACCTACTCACTGACTCACTGACTGACTGATTGAATGACTTACTGACTGACCAACTAACTGGCTTACTGACCTACTCACTGACTCACTGACTGACTGACTGAATGACTAAATGAATGACTGACGAACTAACTGGCTTACTGACCTACTCACTGACTCACTCACTGACTGACTGAATGACTTACTGACTGACCAACTCACTTACTCACAGCTTTACCTGGACCATAGTGAGTGATCCGTGAAAGATAGATATATGAAAACGAACAAGTCTAATTCGACTATTCGTGTTCAGTCCTGTACAAGGAACAAACCCTATTCCATTTTTGTTCAACTTTCTTTCATTTTTCCATTATACCTTAAATCAAATCATGAAAAAAGAGAACTCAAGAACAAAGACGCAAGGTGGAAACGTAAAACAAATCGATAGAAACGTCTTTCGAAAATTGATGAAGAACACTCATAGTTGCCGGAAGAAACATGTCATGTGTTAACATGATTGAAATCTCTTACCCGCTGGGAAATAGCGAAAGCAAGTTTTTGTATGAAGTTAGTGTTTTTTACACATTGGTTAGCTCTTTATCGCGCATGATCGTTTTAGTCCACCGCTGGTTTGTTGTAAAAACAGAAGTCTATTCAGGATATAAGTTAAGGCACCTTTATAATCTACCTCCCAAGGACTTGACTGAAAGTTCTCTCATGGTATTCTAAAGTTCAGAAGATTAAGTTTGATTATTTTGAAGAGCTTCATTATTCGAAAGGAGTTAATGGTTGCCAAGTTGCGGGATAAAGAACTTGTAAAGGAGAGCTGAACATCAAAATAATTCAGTATTAAATTAACCGAGCGCGAGATTTTTCCGCCATCACACATAGAGATGGAGAGCGAATTAAATCTGATTCTTTTCGTCGTTCACAACTGAACAAGATAGCTTAGTGTTATCAACTTAGTTGATCATGATTATGTAAAAAGGCCACGGTAAAGAGTTTCTATAGCTGACGTTTCGAGTGTTAGCCCTCCGCAGTTTCTTCTGAAACTTACCCCAAAAACGGCAGGCTCGTGTTTAAATTGAATAATGATACAAATCGTTCAATATTAGGCCACACACTTTACTCACTCGGTATCATGGAAGAGATGAAAGCGAACAGTGTTGGCAATCAGATTTAAGTATTGATAATAGAACACTATTGTATTTATAACGATTTTTTTTTCATGTCGTGGTTCCATTTCAGGCTTTTTTTGGGCTGAGAAGTGATTGACTTTATCGGGGCCTTTAGTCAATAGGGTTGCACTTGCTGAAACTTTGTCTTGATGCGTTTTCAACACTATGTCAACCCTTTGTTAAAGGATTAAACTATTTTAACAGTAGTCGTACAATTCCAGAATAGTAAAAACAAAAAACAAAACGAAGAACAGGTGTTTCTTGATAATTGAGGCATTTTAGAAAGATATATAAATAACTTCGTAGTTCAGTATAACTTCAAATTTGCCCAGCAAAATTATGAAGGACAGAACTTGGAATTAAATCCCTTTTTCATGAATCAACGCAATGTTATAATTGAGTAAATTGCTATTGCACACAGCGTCACGAAATAAATCTTTTCTCGTGAACTTTGCACCACAGCACAATACAAAGCGCATTAAAAGGCGGATGGGAGAAAAAGAATGTGTGAACGTCTTAGTCTTTTGCCACGTGGAGTCGACTTCTCCTTTTCGACGTAACGTGTCTAATGACATACCGTACAAAGCTTTTTTTTCCTCTTCCTCCGTTGGGAAAGTTATTCTCCCTAATAGCGTGGCTCCATAACCTTTGAACTAGCTGCTTCCTTTCAGCCGTATAATCACTTCGGTAATTTGAATTTTTTTTTTTTTTTTTTTTCAATTTTAGGCCTATAAAAAACATTTTCTTTTTTCAGTTGAAAAGCTTTTAACACGGGATGGTGTGTCGACACGATTTTTGAAGGAAGGGAAGATATTCATAATCATTTTTATAACTTTTTGCCTCAGAAACGTGATTTTGAAGAGCTTTTTCATCCGGGTATTGTACCAAAAACAAAAGGATTTACTCTTTCGTTTGCTGAAGCCCTGCAGTCCGTTAGGGGCGCCCCTTAGTGAGGCAGGGAGCGAGCGGTTGTCGTGGCGAACTTGAATAGCGGTTGCGAAGTTGTCCTGTATGTTGTCAGCAACAACGAGGGAAAAGTCTTCTCCAAGGCGACAGTGTAGTCAAGGTTACAAGGTCCTTCCCAGAATTTCCTTCGCGTAATTATAAGACAACTGGTAGGATAGAGCTTCATGTAATGATCGATGTGTTTTGCCGATATTTTCTTGCTGTTTTGCCCATCGTTACCCGCCTTCGATTTTGTCAGTTTCGACGCGCGATTTTCGCGTGCTCTGTCATAGACTTCTTTGTCATGACGATGGGTAGAAATTCTACTTTTACTCTACTACATTTCGTACTTTATACCTTTAAGACAGTCTCTTGTTATTTGGAGGTAGTTTGTGTTGAATGTGGTGATAAATGTTGCGCCTTGCGACGGATATGCCCTGTGTATGCTCTTAATTGCGTAAGTGCTAAATATATGTAGCTGAAGCAAACCATTTGATCTTTACTGGTCATGTTGACATGTGAATCTATTCAAACACCGAACTCGTTTTTGTTCGATTTAATTCTTAGATCGCCCTATGGCGACTACTCAACCACAGCCAACAAATTACACCCCGAATTTCGACTCCGTCGAAGCGAAATCCCAAGCCACGTCAAGCAATGTGGTTTCGACGCCACAAGCTTTCACCCAGCAAGTTGCGAGTGGCGCGGCCGCCATTTCACACGACATTGTTGTGACCTCGCAAAATATTGTTCCTTCGCCTCAACACGCTTCTTTACCAGCGAATGCTGTAACTTTGACAGTCCAGCCAGCCCAGATTCAAACTCCGCAAACTGCATTAATCTCAGCAAATGTTATTACGAGCGATGGCTTCCAGACGAAAGAAGGTACTCTGCAAACTTTATGAATAGTGTTGCCAATTTCGAACTTCCGAACTAATTCACGATCAGTTCCGCATTTAATAGTACCATTTTTAAATTTTACCTATCTTGGAATGTAAAGAAAAAGTATACGGCGACACGTTTATAATTTTGCTTCAATTTCCTTTTATTTTTCGTTTCAACGTAGGTTTCCCGACCGCAGAGGAACAGTACGTTGAGGCCTTGTCGGCGGAACATGCCATTTACCCAAATGGAACAGCGTAAGTTTCTTCCGTAGAAAGATGTCGAAACAGACTGGAAATTTCCGTCATGTCTTTGAACCTTTTTAGTTTCTCTTTGAAGGTTGCGATCCGAATTTTGTGCTTTGTTTGGTCTTTTTGAACACGTTGTGGACACCTGGTTAAGGGATAAAGAATCAATGCAAAACACATGCGAATCACACAATTCTTGATAATCTATCTCAGTATTTTTGTTTTTCTTTGGGTGAAGTGATGAGGGATATCTTCATATGAACCTAGGAAAACCAGGATTTTCGCTTTTACGATATTTTCAAGTAGTGATTTGGAAACGTCGTTGGAAAGTTGGCCAAACTGTGCAATATTAAGAATGTTATTCAAATTAATTGAATATTTATGTTAATTTATGGTAATTTCTTTCTATATATGGCATATTCATTATTAGCTTGGAAGAGAACAAAATAGCGATATTAATTGAATAAATAAATCTTTTCTTTCTCCTGAAATATCACTTCAAGGCTATATTTATCCAAAAATTCTCAATTTAACCCATAACCAAGATCATGCTAATTTTTGAAACTGGGAAAACTTTGCAGTGAACTTGTCAAGGGTGCTTGATTTAGTAATGATAAATATAGGTAGTGCTGTGACAATTTCCATAGAAACTTCTGGTTTCTCTTGGATATTGTTTTTCTCATCATGATGTTGGAACAATTCTTGCATTGATTAAAATCCTCTTTCCCATTGATGGAACTGTGTTTATTTGGCAAAGTGGGATTAGTATTCAATTCAGGAGCATTTTTACTTAGGAGACACACTCTTTTCCATGGCAACACATGCAGCCTTTGTGAATGAGTCAAAGAGAAAAAGAATCACTTTCTTGTTCTCATCACTCCACTAGACAGTTCCAAATAACAGAGGCTGTTTCTTGGGTTTTTCATTTGATCGTTTATGGCCAGTTTAACCCACATGATGCCTGTATCGACATATTTGTGAGTTTCTTCAGATTTGTTAGCTCTTCATGCTTGAAGCCAACCAATTTTAAAATTGTTAATATTTTATTGGGATGTGATATTGTCTGAGAAAGCATGTTCCTTGGTTGAGCTCAGGTTTAGTTCTAAGTTTTAGCCACAATTTGTTTTTTGTTCTTTTTAGATCTGAATGAATGTTTCCAAAAATTTGTGGCAAATCTATATGCTTGTGTTCTCCTCTGAATATTTGTTAGTAATTATGCTTCATAATGCTCGTATAGGAGAAAGGTACAATTGCTCTGAAATAACATTTTTCCTACCCAAGCTTTGATATTACAACATTTAAGTCAGTATTATGAAAATTGTCCCCCAGAATCAACAAAAAGCATTTTTTCTCACAAGAATTGTGACCTTTTTTCAATTAGAACATGTTCATTCCCAGTATATTGTGTTCCATATTGAACATGTCTTCCACAGAAAATGCAATTATTGCAGTGACAATATTTTTATTTATTCATAGTCTGTGGATTATAAAATCTCTTAATGTTTTACATCATGTCCATTTTGGGTTTAAATTCAGTTTTATTCAGAGGTAAATTCTGCTCTGTAGATAATCAATTCAGCATTCTAGATTTATTTGGTCAAATTTATGTGTGAGATCCTTCAATAAAAAATATAGGCTGCCTATCTTATATTTTTCAGTGATGTTGATATATTTATCAAGACAGTGGTGTCAAAATCTTTGTGGTCTTACATTTACTTGATTCTTGAAGCAGTTGTTAAAAATGTTCAAGTTCAGATTACTGGAGTTGATCAATGGTTTGTGTTCTGTAAAATCAAAAGCTGAGTTTTTTATGGTATCATCCATAAGACAGGAAGTAAGGAAATTGACAGCAATATTTTCTAGTGATAAATGTAGGTTTTCATTATTTGTGGTTTGAAAATACTTAGTGAAACACAGATGAACTTGACCCAACTTTCCTGTGTCAGAGATCTCCATTGTCTCTCTTGGCTGACATTACAGAAGGTCATTATGCTAGCCATTTGTTAAACCATCATCCTGCTGTTAGGCATTGTTAGCTAGGAATAACCAAGCTGGTCATTCCAATCCTCAAGCTGTGTATTTGTACAGCCAGGGTTTCTTACTCTGTGCATTTCAATCAGGTCTGTGTGTTTGATGGCACCTCTTCCTGGTAATTTCGAAAATCTCAATGCTTTTTATCACAGAAAAAACTTTATTGGTTATGTACTCATTTCTGGAAATAGTAAGAGTAAATTTTTACTAAAAGTAATGAGGTGAGTGTTTCTCCTCTTGATAGGAGAAACTCTGCTTGGCTTTCTTTTCACCCCTTCTTTCCTTCCTCTATTGCTTGTTTAAACATAAAAAAGGGACTTTGTAAACTAACCCAAATTTACAAAGCTATTTTGAGCTTAACAACAATATTAAACCTACTAATACTTCATAACATTTCACCCACTTTGCAGAGTAGTGTACATGGAAAACTGTTAAACAGGCTTGCAAATTAAATTGTTTTTCTCTTAATTTCTTCCAGGGGCAATGCTTATCACTACACTGATGCAACAATATTTGGACAGCAAGCTACATCATCGTATCTTGAAGCAAGCCAACAGCAAAACCTAATTTCAGCTGCTGCAACCACACAAGGCAGTGTCCCTAGTGGACAAACATACCTACAAGTCACTCAGGGAGGAACAACCATACAGACTCAAAGGCATCCAATAACACATACCACCAGGGCATCTCCTGCAACAGTAAGTTATTTACAGTTCAGTGATCAACTTGCAATTTCTCATAAAAACATCAGTATATTTTGTCACTGAGTTTAGCTATGGACTATAAGAAAATTAGTAGTTGAAATGATGTTTAATTCCTGTGGTATAAAACTGTAACATTTAGAACCAGTCAATTGAAAAGTTAAATGCTGGTTCATGGAAAAGGTGTAATGAGTTGTAGGTGATAGTGTTACTTGTCTTTTATTGAGTGATTTTTCTCTACAATTTGGCAAGAGATCAAAGTGATCAAATCATGCTGCACATGAAAAAGAAAATTGCTATTTGAAATTATTTTTAATTCCTGTGATATAAAACTGCAGCATTTAGAACAAGTCAATTGAAAAAATTAAATGCTGCTTCATGGAAAAGGTGTATTGAGTTGTTGGTGATAGTGTTACTTGTCTCTTATTGGGTGATTTTTCTCATACAATTTGGCAAGAGATCAAATTGGTAATATCATGCTACACATGCAATTTTATTTTCACTTTCAAAAATGATCCTTGTAGCTGTTTTTTCATTACATCTTCAACATCATTCAAATCATATCATCTTGGTGTTCTTCTTGGTTAAAGGTGCTCATTTCCTTTTCTTGGCTGTTCACATCTTGATTGATTTTGATTTTATCTTTAATTTTCTCTGCATTTGCTCCTGGAGTCACCTTTTTGAAAGATAACAATTAGTATGAACAATTTGTTAAATACGTAGGGGTTTGGAAATTGACAAATTTTTGTTAAATTTTTTTAAAGGTTCAGTGGCTGGTTGAAAACTATGAAACAGCAGAAGGAGTGAGCCTGCCCCGCAGCACACTTTATAATCATTACCTTCAGCACTGCCAGTCAAATAAACTTGATGCAGTAAATGCTGCAAGCTTTGGAAAGCTCATTAGATCAGTTTTTATGGGACTGAGAACCAGACGACTTGGCACAAGGTTAGGATACACATGTGTAACAAACACAAAGTTTATGGCATGAAAACTTGTTTTGTTTTCTTTTACTGAGCCTTTGCCTTTGTGGACATCATTATTACTGTGGAATCTTTAATTTGTTAATTCTGAAGCTGACCTTTTGTAAAATTTTTATTTCCTGTGTAAGCTTTTCCATTCTTTATAACAATCACCATTTTTATGTTACAGGGGTAACTCCAAGTATCATTATTATGGAATACGCATTAAGCCAAGTTCACCATTAAATGCTTTGTCAGATGATCCCCAAGTGGCTATGAGACAATCACCATCCACACAAAAGAGGTATGATATTTTGCAATTATTCCTTAATGGTCTCTGTTTGCGAAAAAACCCTTGTTTCTTTGTTAGATTCTTATGGTGTAATATCACATTTCCTAAATAAAAATTCACTTGTGAATTACATTAATCTTCATAGGAAAATAATATTTTTGATTAGTTTTTGAGACTTGTCTACACCATGTACTCACTATTTCCTGGCAAAATCACTTTTATTTCATACATACCGAGATTTACACTGTGAAGTACTCTCATATGTGTCTCTGATTGAAAGAACAACATAATTTCACAGTTGTTTGCTTCATACTTCACAGTATTAATTTCAATGTGTATCACATAAAAACATCATACTAAGAAAAGTGCTTGAGATTTTTTTCACTCATTGTGATGCATCAAAAAACTTGTTGCATCGTAATGAGTGAATTAAAATTACTCAAGCACTTTCCATGGAATAATTTCTGTGTTTCTGTTAAATTGATTTGTTTCTCATGTGTAACAGACTGAAGCCTGCTGCCAGATTAGCCTCTGATGAGTCAGGTGATACAGCATCACACTCACCAGCAATGACAGCTGATCAACAAGCACAGCAAAGTCAGATGCAGCAGCACCAGCAGTATCTGGGTGATGTCACACAAGGGTTACCAGAGTTTGAAGAGCTTGACCTCAAGGGTGTTCCTCTACCAGGTATTTGTTGTGTGATTTTATCAATTGAAACTAATTGTTTCCTTGTGGTGTGCCTTTAAACTTTGTTATCACTTACTTCTGCAGCAATTTTGACCCTCTGTTCTGAATTTTAACACAAGTATCTTTATTATTCATTTCAGAGGGTATCACAGATCATGATCTTGACACCTTTGTTGACATGTATCGAGAACATTGTGAGGTAAGTTTCTGGTTGACTATCAACTGTTTATAGTCCTTTCTAAACAATTGATGTGTCCACCTGAAAGAAACAATCTCAATAGACTCGTTACATGGTTTGTCCATATTGCTACATGTACACTCCACAAATTTGGCTTACTTGTATAATCTGTAAAAGGCAGAATTTGTTTTTCTTCATTTCAAAGACTTTTTAGGTGCCAGAGATTAAATCTGTTGAATTTTGGAATACTGTTTACTCTGAAAATTTCTGCAAGAATCAAAAAGGTGAAATTTAATCATTTTTGCTGTTTGGTTTGTAGGCTTTTCTTGATGTTGTAGTCAACCTGCAGTTTACTTTGGTTGAGTCACTGTGGCAAACATTCTGGCGACATCCAGTTGGAAGTGATAAATCAGGGGCAGATGATGATGATAAAAAGGATGTTGGGTAAGGTGCACTTAAGTTCTTTCACTCGGGGGAATGACCAAAGAGGATTTTCCCCTTACAATTTCAATGCATTTTCAAACAAATAGGTGATGAGATGATAACTTTTAAATCAATCAAGGGATTGTTGATTTGACACCAAATTTCTTAGAGAAAGAAATTGAAGAAACGTATTGGAAACAGTGCAGAAAATTGATTTGAGGTCTGTTAGGGAGAGGTTTTAGCTTATTGGCACATTGTGAATGCACTGAATCATAGGCATGTTCAAGCAAATGTCAATTCCTTTACAGCATTTAATTTTGATTATTTGTTTGTTTTGTTTATTTGTTTTTTAGTGATGATGGTGAATATGAAAGCAGGCTTTCCCAATCCAAATTGACACAACTGTGTGAATTTGATCCAGTGATTACATTTGTCAAAGCATGTGATCATCTTCTTTATCAGACACTGGTTGAAATCCTCATTCCTGATGTGTTGCGACCAATTCCAGGTACTTATAATTATGTAATCCTTACTGCAGAGTGTTATTATAATACATGGTACTTCTCTGGCTTGTGATTTACAAACTTGAATTGTGTTCTTCCAACATCCTGTGTGGGTTATTATGGCAGTAAATGGATAGAAAGTGTGGTCTATTACTCAAATTTAATCTTTGAGCAAATAAATAATGTAAGATTCATTGTTTTTCAGCTTCCTTGACACAGGCTGTACGTAATTTTGCCAAAGGCCTGGAGGGCTGGTTGGTCAACAGTCTAGATCAGATTCCAAAGAAGATGAGTGATGTAAAAGTAAGTTTGGTTACAGTTTTAGAAATGTCCAGTGTCTGAAAAAGGTACATGTGTGGCTTGGGTTGGGGTAAACATGATGCATTAACTACAGCATCTATTGTAGAAGAAATTTGTTTGAGTTTAAAATGAGATTTTAAATTCAGAACATTTTTTATCAAAGGACTAACTGAGTAAGGGGTGTTTATTTGACAGGTAACCACTTGTAGTGCCTTTGCACAAACTCTGCGTCGCTATACTTCATTGAATCATTTGGCCCAAGCAGCACGGGCTGTGCTTCAGAATTCTTCCCAGATCAGTCAGATGTTAGCTGACCTTAACAGAGTGGATTTTGCCAATGTGCAAGTAAGATCATAGTGATTTTGCTGTTTTGTGACAAGGCTAAATTATGCAGTTGTAAATGTGTCCAAGAAAACAAGTAAAGTTTTACTTATGTGAGGAGGTATTTTACAGGAGAAATGTAGTGATGAAACAAATATAGTTCAGATGTCACTTCAGGTAGTAAAACTTTCAACTTATCCCTTGCAGGAGCAAGCCTCTTGGGTGTGTCAGTGTGATGACCATGTTGTGTATCGACTGGAGCAGGATTTTAAACTCACTCTCCAGCAACAGGTTTGTTACACTGAATTACCGGGTTCTTTCTGCAATAGGAGAGTATCATTAACTGAAGGTGTTGGTTTTCTATTTAGAACTCTCTTGAACAATGGGCCACCTGGTTGGAAGGCGTAGTAGATCAAGTGCTGAAACAGCATGAGGGAACAGATGAGTTTCCCAAGGCAGCAAGACAGTTTCTATTGAAGTGGTCATTCTATAGGTAAAGTTCTCAACTTCAGATTTTATTTTATCTTAAGCCAAGGTATGTGTGTGAAAATGCAAGACTAATTTTGTCTTTCAATTGCTTCTCATAGTTCTATGATAATCCGTGACCTTACTCTGAGAAGTGCAGCCAGTTTTGGGTCATTCCATTTGATCAGGCTCCTTTATGATGAGTACATGTTCTACTTGGTGGAACACAAAGTTGCTAAAGCCATTGGCGCATCACCTATGGCAGTTATGGGAGAGGTAAATGATGAACAGTGCACGATATTTAAGCAGAACTAAAAAATTACTCTCGCATTGATTGGATCAATTTCAGTATCTGAGAAACTGCCTACCTATCCCTCCCCTAACCCAACAACAGTCGATTGATAACAAGTTAGGGTTAGTGTTGGGTTAGGGGAGGGGTAGGTGGACAGTTGCCGAGATACTGATATTGATCCCATTGTTTGTTATGTTAGTAAATGTTGACATAATGTTCATCAAGTTGATGGAAAATTAATATGATGCAAAATTGTAGGCTTGAAGTCTTTGCTATATTTTTTTTTTGTAGATTTGCAACTGTGTCAGCTCTCACAGCAATTGGTTTTGGTTTACAGATTCTTACATTTCTGTAGAGAAATCTTCAAACCTTTCTTTCAAAATGGACTCTTCCATTACCAATCCTGTAATATAAGATGCAACCCTACCCTATTCACCATATAGATTCAAAGTTTGTCACCATTACAAAATTATCCTCCACAGCTCTGATATTTGTGTTTTTATTTTCAATAGTTTGTTGGCCTTGGATCAGCACTGTCTATGGGACTTGATTCAGTGGAGAATAGCCTTCTATCAGAACAGCCTGACTGCCCCTTAAACTGTAAGTTCTTAGTGATCACTCAGAGTGTCTTGTCAAACCTTTCTTTCTCCTTGCAAATATTGGTCATTTACATTGTTTAAAACCCAATTGCACTGACTTCTACATACATTTTTACATGTACAGTAGCTCTCATGATTCTTTATCTTCACCATGGAATGTAGTAGATTCTGTCTAGATTTCATGAAAATTATACCAAAATTATGCACGGTGATAATTTGCAATATTTTCATTGATGGAGACTTGAAGAAGAAAGTTGGAATTAATCATTCTTTCACATCCAAAAGTTTATCTACCTAAGTGGCATGCACATATATCCAAGAATATTTAATGTTGGGTGTAACTGAAGATTATTAATTACAAAGTTATGCATAATTCTGATCATGTTTTTTCCTCCAGTAGATGGTACCCAGGCCACCGGTTCAAGTACTTCCTCCAGCACCACACGCCCATCAGTGACTGGGTCCTTGGAGCCAGAGGCCAAACGGCCACGCCCAAGTTAAATCGTCATTTAATATATCCCTGTAAAATATGAACAGAAATATTTTATTCCCAAAATCTTGATGGCATATTAATAAGCAAAAATAGTTCTTTGTAGTTAATCAGAAACAAATGTTTCAGATCAGTAGCCTGTAAGAGCTCTACATGTAAATTAATCTTGAAATATGGGAAAATGTACCATTGTAATTTATATTTCATATAATACATGTTGTTGATTAGTCCTATTGATTTAATTAAAATAGAAGTTGCCTGGCATATTTGTAGATAATACTTATGCCTTTGCAGTGATTATCACTTAGTATGATCCATGTCACAGTCTTTTTGTAACAGTTGACTTGAATTCTTCAGAAAAGAAGAGTTCTCTTTAACTAAACATGACAGGAGCTATCTTTAAATTGTCCAAGTTATCTAGGCATAGAAACATAGCCTTCTTTTCTCCTTTCGATTTGATTTTTAAAATGTAGTTCTACTGCACATTTGAAAATTTATAACAGTGAAACAAAAGAAACAGTTTAGACAGTTAAAATATTCTCAAGAAAAACAGCGATTAATTTCCTGAAAACAATGTTTATGCAAGGCATTGTTTACTAAATTTATCTTAGAACAAGTTTCGAGATAGTTCAACGATTCAGAATACTATTTTTGCCAGTCAAGTAGTGCATGCTGAATTGACACAAAGTTACTGCTACTATTCAGCATTTTTATTAACAGTCTTTCGCTGTTGAGAATTAAATTCTATTAAGAGTTAAAGTTAAAAAAAAGAAAGCATTCATAAAGACATTAATGTTACGTGTACATCATTAAATGGATATATTGGGATATCTTTTGGACAATACATTTGTTACAGTGTATGTTTTTGTCGGACTTTTGATTTAGTAAAGCCTAGTATGAGCCTTGAGGGGTGTTGGCCCAGTGGCTTGTGTGCTGGGCACAAGACTTAAAGGTGTGGGTTCAAACTCTGGCTGGGTCTTTCTGTTGAGTTTAGGAACATTATCCTTAACTCTGACATCGCCTCTCTCTCCACCGCGAGTGAAAATGGAAAATGGGTAATGGTAACTGCAGGGGAAACTTTTGAATTTCCGCGAGAGGGAGGGTAGTAGCTAGTGCTCTGTACTCTACATCGTGTTGTGTTATTCGGTTAGGTACTTTACTCTGATATTGTTTTCCCCCCCCCCTCCCCCTCTACAAAAAGTATTAGCATTACAGTTAGTGGTATCTCTATAATGGACCAGAATAATTTCCAGGAGTGGGGGGATAGTTCCCTCAAGCATTTGAAACTGGTTTGGCTCAAGCCTGGTGGGCCTAATTACACGAAGTGTCACCTTAAATTTACTAGATTGGCTGCGAGATCGTGCATCTTCCCAGTAAATTGAAGTTTCCTCTTATCCTTTTTTCACTGAAATTCCAAGACGATAATAAGCTAGCATTATCGTCGAGGTCTCACGGCCCATTCATATTAGCAAAACATATTTGCTAAACCGGGTTTAACTGTATGAAAACCAGAAACAGAGGACTGGAAAACTGAATTTTCTGAAGGATTTAAGAAATCAACGGTTCGTATTTTCAATGCGCTATATTTGGAGACGAAAAACATCGGTTTAAGCAGCTTCTGTGAAGACAGAAAAAACAAGTTAAACCGTGTTTAACAAAACACCTTTAAAACTTATTTAAGCTTTGGTGTGAATGAGGATCAAGAAAGGCCCTGCGGTGTGTGAATGGAAAGCTTCGTGGAATTAGGCTTTCCTTGCGTTGCTATGAGATCAGTTATCCTTCAGGTCTCTCCCCTGATGAGGAGATTAGAAGCATTCCAGAATGACTGAATGCTTTTTTTAAAAGTGTTTTATCGAGCCGTTCAAACGATTCTTTGTCCCTGAGGAGTCTTAGGCATACTCATGCAGACATTGGCCTTTTGGCTCGAAAGAATTGCATAATGCACAACGATGCCCTCGTGAGTGTTGAAAGCCAAACACAAACGCATTCATTCCATAAAAAACCAAAAACTTTCGAAACATCTACTACTAAGGAAAGTGTTATGAATGAATTAAGACTGATCCTAGGTGAAATAACGACACGACGTTTCCACAACATATCGAGTCCCTGTGAATCTAAATCCGTACAGAAACAGTTGACTGTGAACAAGTTACTCAGGTACTTAACAAAGGAAAGTCATCTTCGAACCTAAGTTAACATCTTTTGTGAGTATCAAAACTTTTCACGTCTTCCTGCGGCTCTGGAAATTTTCGTGCACAATGACGATCCGATCTGAAACTTACTCGTGTTTCTACATAACAAAACAATACAAGCTGTAGAGTGTTTTCATATAAGGGTAAATTTCATGTCAAGCATGTCATTTTGGTTTCATATTGTTCAGGAGAATCATTGGCGAACCGAACATGCGACTCATTCAGGACTTAAAAATTTAAGGCCTTTTAGAGAATAAAAAAAAAGAGCTGTTTTGTTCAAATACCTGTTGAGTACACATTTTCTTGCTTAGTATAGGTCTGCGTACAAACTCTATGCCCTAACTGATGATTTTATATTTTCTCACCACCAGCAAACTTGATCGTGTACCGAGTATGTGAGGAGAAATAAGTAATTAAACGTTTAACTCTTCCTGGTTATCCTCCAGTCCCAAGCCCGGATAAAGAAGGAAGACTGCAGCCTGGAAGCTACTGACCTCAAACTCGAAGGGTAAGTGTTGTTACCATACCTTTTAGTTAGTACGAGTGCTATGATTGGTCAATTTCGTGAGCTGTATTCAGAGTAAGGCTCGCTAAATTTAAAAATTCGTTTAAATTGAAATCTTTCCTCCTCTATTTGAGTCTAATTCGTTTTCTTCCGCTCGGATTTATGGCCCACGTGCTTCGCGAAAGGATCATAAATCCGAGCGGGAAAAACTCGGTCCGTAACTTAGCATAAAAACCTCGCGCTCGGACAGAAAGAGATATAAAATGTAACCTGAGATTTTAATCAGGCATTATCTATTATCATTATTATTTTTTTAAATCATTATTTCTATCATTATCATGATTGTTATCGTCATCATTATTGTTATTGATATCATTATATTTTTATCATCGATACTGCCATTATCATTATCATTATTAAAAAATTTATTTAATTTTTTATCGGAAAGTGTCCCCTAACTTTCTCGTTTCCCTATTTTGCTCTCCCACAGAAACAGGAACATCTTCGTAGGTAAGCAAGAATCAATTATTATTTAAGTCTTCATCGATAAAAAGGTAACATCGTCATTGCTACAACGCCATGAGATGTACTGAGTTGAAATTCGGTAATTAATACTTTATCATGATATCCTTTGTAATGGAAATAACTTTTCTTTAAGATGAATTGTGGAATAAATGGAAAAAAAATTAAAAACACCTTTCTTTTTTTAAGGTCATGTTACGTGTTAACATGCGTCTCGAATGAGGAAATTGAAAAACTGTTTATTTTGGTTCATCATCTTAGTTGCTAGGTGATTGGCTGCACATAGATATAGCTTACAGATAAAATACTTACTTTATAAAGAGAAAGTGTTTTCCTTGTCCGATGAAATATTTTTGTACGTCGACGTCATCGAAATATTAATTATCTTTTTCACTTCGTATCATTTTAAATCTTGATGGCAATTGAAGGTGCAAGGCTAATGATCAAATCATTGCCTTTTACGGTTCATGCATGTCGTTTTTCAGTTTATTTTATTTGTCCTATGATTTTTTATTAAAAAAATAACCAGTCCTTCAAATGTAATCTTGATTATCTGCACACCTTAAAATTTTTCTTGAAGTTGTTTGCTAATGTCCGACATAAGTCAGACATCATAAGAGAAATGCAAATTCACTAAGTGACGTCACCTGTGAAATGCAGCTGTAGTGAGGCTAAGACTGGCAGGTGTGTAAGCAATGAGAAAGAGCTGACAATCAGAAAAATGAGCTTCATTTTAGGATTATTCTTTGTTATTCTCATCTCTAAACTCTTGATACAAAATTAATCAATCTAAGAACTCAAACGCCCTAAGCTGGCAGACTGACATTACATACTGTAAAGAGAACTTCGTAGTCGGTTTTGCTACAGTCTCTTTGTTCCCGGCGGTAAATCAGGTGTGGGAGATAAGCGGGAAGTGACTCCCCTCCACCTATCATAACTGTAACTTATACCATAGCTCTCTCTTGAACCAGCTCACGCCTTCTCCAATAGACCATTAATGAATTTGCTATATTTCGCGTAATATGACATTCTAAGTTATCTTTATCGTGACCTGTGAAACAAAAACCCCCATAGTTTACTTCTTAACGAAGGCCTTTTCTTCGGTCCCAAAGATGCCTCATTGATCGTTTGTACACGGGAATTTTCAGAAAAACAATTACAGGATTCATTACTGCTACTAAGAAAAAAACTATAAATGACATGTGTTCTAAAAGATCATAGCATGATGTTGAGGAAAACTCTAATTTACTATAACCTAAAATTTTTACCACGCAGTAAAATACCATGGGTAGAACTGTCAAAATTGTTCCTTTTGTTGCTGCTTTCAAATACTGCCGAAGTTGTAAATTTCGTTTTGACCTGTTTGGGTTTATAACTCGTATCTGTGAATCATGTGTGATGTCTTGGGCAACCCGGGTTCGACGCCTTAGCAAGCAAAAGCTGATTGCCAACATAACTGTCATTACCGTGCAAGGTAACAGTATGAATACGGGAAGACTTATATCGTAAAATATATCTTCGGAGACTCCTGTGAACAAAATACAGGAGAAGAAAAAGCAAGTTGCAGTTACTGAGGAGCAGATTTGTTTCGCTCTTTCGATCGTAGCGTTTTTACGATTCAGGAAAGGATACACAAATGCTGTGTAACGCTCAAGGAACAGAACCAGAAGCAACACAGATGCATTTGTGACAACAAAATGAACCATAACATCTTGGAACAGTTCAGCTACTCCATTCACTATCTCCTGACTCTGCAGAACGCTATTGGTTCCAAGAATTGGAAGGACAAAAAGACTTGCGATAAGATGGTTTAACCCAATTGAAACGTTGAGTACGTTTGTGGGTTTGTTAAAAAGTTTGAGTGGATCTCTTCTTGCGATGTAAAGCATGAACCCATTTCCAATCGACGCTGTTAGAGATGCAAGGAAGTATACGATTCCAAATATTAAATGCAGGTTAGCTTCTTTGATAAAGCAAACCTTTGTTTCCATCACAGAGAACGTAAAAGAGATTTCACAGCTTTATCTTGCCTTTGTAAACGACGCACCGGGCACTATCGTTAATGCCTATCAGACTGGTACTATGTTTCATTCCATTAATTATTGTTATGAACTCTTTCCATAAATGAAGCTCATCGTGGGCTCTAAGGCGTAATCATTTTAATGAGCTAAAGATCTCTAGGTTGTTTCTATTGGCCGTCGGGCGACACTTATCGATTAGACAGCTAAAGTTAATTTCCTGTTTTCCATATGTTTGCCAAGGTGCACTTAGAATCGTGGCTTATAACTCGACATTGCGCTGAATTTAATAACAAGAAGGAAGTCATTTGATATAATTCACTGGCTATCGTTCACAAAATATGACAATGTTTGTTTTAGAAAAAACCTTTTAAGCGAAAAGGAATCGCTACTCTGGTCTTTTAAGAGTTAAACTTCAGAATCCCCCGTCAAAATCGTATATTTGCTGTAAGTTAAATGAATCTAAGTCGCCTGATCTTTGCCATCAATATTATAATCTCGTGTTTGCGTAAATCACCCATCAAACATATTTTATTCACTGCTTGTATGAACCGCCTCTACATGTACATTATCTTGAAAATGAAAGGATTCTGTTTCGTCTGCAACACGCAATTCTGATCGTATTTTTGAAGTAACCGATCGCTTTTCCATTTTTTAGCCGATCTCAGAGATCACCCTTAAATTGCTCGACGTAATTTTGAATTTCCTTTAAAAAAAAGTGACATTCTCGTTTTTTCTAGATGGCGGCTATGTGTCGGCCATCTTGAATTTTAAGCGCTGGAAAATCTCAGGAATCATACCGTGTTTCTGAAACAAATAGGTGCGATCAGTATAGTGATTGTCATTCCAACTGTAACTTAAAGTCAGGTAATTGAGGTGAAGACGATGGTGAGCGAGGGGTTATTTTCTGTTAAAAAAAAAGCCACCAATTCTCAGGAATAGCCAATAAAGTTGTGCATGGTATTAGTTGGAAGAATTAAATTTCAAATTTTTGGAGTGAAATGGTTACCTTGCATGTTTCTGAAACGCGAATTTTCTATACTACAGGTGTTTTCCTCGACTTCATTTTATCATTTTCAAGTGGCTGAGATCATAAAATCCTCTCAGGAGCAGTAACACGAAACATAATCATTTAAAAATAGCCTGTAGAAGAGTATTCCTTTTTGAGTTTTTTTGTAATCGGCCAATAGATCAACCTTCATAGGTTGTTTAAAGCTTGATTAAGATAACCCAGGATTAGTGTGAAATCTGATTTGAGATCTGAAAGTTTTAAAAGAAAGTCAGCTCAATTCTCTTTGTCTACAAATTGATGATGGAATACCCTTAAAAGAATATAGAAAATTATCCGAGAAAGGCTTTTGAACAAAAGGATAAAGAAGTCGGATTAGAGTTTAGCCCTGGGTTAGCGCTAATCTGGGCCCTGAGCGCAGGTATTTTAACTCATTCTTTGATATAAATTTTATTAAAACTTGTTAGACCTTACAATATAAATAATTTTTGTGCTGATGCATCACCTCAATTTCACATCGTAAGCAAAAGCAATCTATTCGATGATAAATGATCTGTTTATCAGGATGTGAGGACATCTAGGACATATTATCAGCAGGGAGAAAATATCATACGAAAAAAAAGAAAAAAAATGACAAGTTTCCCCGCGTCAGGGATTGAACCCTAACCACGGACCGCAACATGGTGCGGTCAGATGCTCTACCCACTGAGCTGCGGGGAACTTGTCAATATTGACGGCTGAATTTTAAAGTCATCTTTTAGGTTTCGTACACACCGCAAAGAAAGATCAAGCCTAGAAACGTATGCGCTACTTCATCGCTCTTAAAGAATCTCTTCTGCAATGGTTTGCAGTTGACTTAATTAGAAAGGAAATACCTCTGTCCACTTACATTTGCTGTTTCTATCGAGGATTCCCTTTATTCTTTTATTACGTAAGTAATTTTTGTTCTGATGAATCACCTCAGTTTGTCATCTTAAGAAAAAGTAAGGTATAAACTCGATGATATTTGATATGTGTATCAACATATTTGTTACATTGAAGACCTGTTATCAGCAAGGAGAAAAACTATGATAAAAGGAAAAAAAATACAAAAAAAGAAAAAAACGACAAGTTTCCCCGCGTCAGGGTTAGAACCCTAACCACGGACCACAACATGGTGCGGTCAGATGCTCTACCCACTGAGCTGCGGGGAACTTGTCAACAATGGTCGTTGAATTTTAAAGTCATGTTCTAGGTTTCGTACACACTGCAAAGATCAAGCCTAGAAACGTATGCGCTATTTTAAAGTATACGTGTCTACTTTTATTTTATGTACTGATGCATTACCTCAATTTTACGTCTTGAGCGAAAGCAAGTAATAAATTCGATGATAAATAATACGTGCATCAACATGAAAAGACAGAAAAGAAAATTATGATGACAAAAACGAGGCAAAAAAAACGACAGGTTTCCTTGCACCAAGGTTTAAACCCTAACCACGGACTGCAACCTGGTGCAGTCAGATGCTCTACCCACTGAGCTGCGGGGAACTTTTCTGCGTATAAAACTTCACAGATCAAGCCTAGAAAAATAGGACAAACTAATAATCTCCTTTGTAATAGGTTCGCAATTGAATCAATTAGTTCGAAAAAGCCTCTTTCTACTTAGAGTTTTTGTTTCTATCGAGGATTTACTTTCCTCTTTTATTATCATATAGGTATTTTTTGTTCCGATGTATCACCTCAGTTTGACGTCTTGAGCAAAAGCAGGATATAAATTCGATGATATTTGGTAGTGCTACCATATAAAGACACCAGACTTGTTATCAGCAAGGAGAGTAACTATGATGAGTGGAAGAAGAAAAAAAAAAGGAAAATCGATAAGTTTCTCCGCGTCAGGGATTAAACCCTAACCATGGACCGCAACATGGTACAGTCAGATGCTCTACCCACTGAGCTTCGGGGAACTTGTCAACATTGATAGCTGAATTTTAGAGTCATGTTTTAGGTTTCGTACGCACTGCAAAGATCAAGCCTAGAAACGTATGCGCTGCAACATAGCTTTAAAAGAATCTCCTCTGCAATGGTTTGCAATTGACTTAATCAGTAAGAAAAACGCTCTGTCGCCTTAGATTTGCTGTTTTCTAATGAGGATTACCTTCTTTCTTCTATTAGAGAGGTAATTTTTGCTTTAATGCACCACCTCGATTTAACATCTTTAGCAAAAGCAAGAGATAAATTTGATGACAAATTATGTGTGCATCAACATATAAAGACACAGACTTGTTATCAACAAGATGAAAGATATGATGAGAAAAACAAGAAAATAAAAAAAAAAAAAAAAAAAGGACAAAAATGACAAGTTTCCCCGCGCCAGGGATTGAACCCTGACCACGGACCGCAACATGGTGCGGTCAGATGCTCTACCCACTGAGCTGCGGGGAACTTGTCTGCATGGAAGTCTGAATTTTAAAGTTATGTTTTAGGTGTCTAACGTACTGCAAAGATCAAGCCTATAAACATATGCGCTATTCCATAGGAAAAAAATAATCTCCTTTGCAATGTTTTGCAATTGACTCAATTAGTAAGAATAAGGCTTTCCACTTTGATTTGCTGTTTCTATTGAGAATTCCCTTTGCTCCTTTGTTATATAGATAACTTTTGTACCAATGCATCGCATCAATTTTCCATCTTGCAAAAAGCACGTAATCTATTCGGCGATAAGCGTATCAACATAATGAGACATTAAAGATTTTTGTTATTAGCAAGGAAAAAATATGATGAGAAAAACAAAACAAAATTAACACAAAAATGACAAGTTTCCCCGCGTCAGGGTTTGAACCCTAACCACGGACCGCAACATGGTGCAATCAGATGCTCTACCCACTGAGCTGCGGGGAACTTGTCAATATCTAAGCTGGAATATTACAGTCATGTGTTGGTTGCTTTTGCACTGCAAAAATCAAGCCTTGAAACATAGGAGCTATTCCATAGGACGAAAAGAATGTCATAATGCAATCGACTGAACTACTTAGAGACTCAGTCGACTTAGACTTGCTGTTTCTATTTAGAAGTAAGTGTCTACTTTTATATTCTAACAAATTTATGTACTAATCATAACCATTACAATTTCCTCAAATGTGATTGGTGCATCAGCTGCTTCGAACGGTGTAATAGGATAGTCCGTGATCAGATGCTCTACCCGCTGAGCTGTGGGTAACTTTTTTCTTTGTAAAACTACAACTATCAAGCCTAGAAACATATACGCTATTCCATAGGACAAAAATAATCTTTTTTGTTATAGGTTTGCAATTGACTCAATAAGAAAGAAAAAACCTCTTTCCGCTAAGATTTGCTGATTCTATCGAGGATCCCCTTTCCTGTCTTATTATACAAGTAGTTTTTGTTCCGATGCATTATCTCAGTTTGACGTCTTGAGCAAAAGCAAGATTTAAATTCAATTATATTTGGTATGTGCATCACCATATAAAGACATCAAAGAATTGTTGTTAACTGGGAAAAAAACTAGGATGAGAGAAAGAAGAAAAAAACATATGCGCTATTCCATAGGACAAAAATAATCTCCTTTTGTTATAGATTTGCAATTGACTCAATAAGAAAGAAAAAACCTCTTTCCACTTAGATTTGCTGTTTCTATCAACGATTTCCTTTCCTCTTTTAATTATAATAAAGGTAATTTTTTGTTCCCATGTATCATCTCAGTTTGACGTCTTGAGCAAAACCAAGACATAAATTCGATGATGTTTGTGTATCACCATTTAAAGACATCAAAGAATTGTTGTTAGCAGCAAGAAAAACTATGATGAAAGACAGAAGGAAAAAAAAAAAAGCAAAAATGGCAAGTTTCCCAGCGTCAGGGATTGAACCCTAACCACGGACCGCAACATGGTGCGGTCAGATGCTCTACCCACTGAGCTGCGGGGAACTTGTCTGTATGTAGGACTACATTTTAAAGTTATGTTTTA